AGGAGGAGGAGGAGGAGGAGGAGGAGGAGGAGGAGGAGGCTCGGGCAGTAACCCCTGCTTCTCTTTCTGCTGCAGAGGAGACCAGCCCCTCCCTGGAGTCTCCCGTCCCCGAGGCAGAGGGCAGCAAGGAGATCACAACGGTGACCCAGAAGATGGAGGAGCTGCAGCTGCCCGAGAGAGAGCCTGAGGTGGCCAAGGAGTCCAGGGGGGCCATTTACTCTGTGCCCCTCTTGCAGGACCCCCTTGGGGTGCCAGAGGAGCCGAGCAGGGCCTTTGAGGGGGCAGCCACCCCAGACCCCCAGGAGGAGGGTGGCCCAGGCGGTTGTGACAGGCGGAGCAGAGGCCAAGAAGAGCGGGAGGAAAGCGGTGGCAGCTGTGACAGGCGACATGGGCCTGGTAGGTGGTGGGAGGGAAGGGCCATCTTTTTTTTAAAAAAAATACTCAAAGACGAGTTAAAAGAGAACCCAAACTGAAATTAGGAAACAAAAGGAGACAGGGTGAAAAGGAATATTTAAAGGGGCAATTCGCAATACTCTGCAACAAATACTGGCAAATTAATAAATCCCCACCCTCAATTGATTACATACATGATTCATTTCTTCCCATAATCCTCCCCCCTGGCCACTCACAGATCCCAAAATCCTCATTTCTGTTCAATTGTCAGCAAAACGTCTATAAAGGGTTTCCAGAACTTTATAATTTTTTTCTTACTTTAGCTTAGATCAAACAAGTCAACTTCATGTTCCTTTCCTTTCTTTCTATCAATGTTCATGGTTGATTCATGAAGTTGCTATAATAGGATTGAATTTCCATTCACCATTTCTCCCGTCTCAAATCTTTCTTGGGGTTTTAAAAACCCTCCTTTGTAAGTCCAAAAAGAAGTCCCAGCCCAGATCTTTTTTCATCTCTTGATTTGTAATTTGTATTTCTACTCAGATTGTCTTTGCTATTTTGTAATCCTCAATTTCTTTATTTTCCCATATTTCCCCATCAGCTACAATTTGCATCCTCTTGTAATCCTGTCTATCCATAAACTCTTCCGTATTGTTGTCTGTCGTATTTTTCACTTCTTCTCTTTGTTTATTTTTTCAAAAAATACATTTATAGGCGCTATAAATTGCTGCCTAATTTGTTCTACGTTTCTCTCCCAGTTCTTCAAGAATTCTTTGAAATGCCCAAAGTGCCGAACCCTCCTTTGCCATTTGGTAGACTCCACTTTCTTTTCGCTGCCTGGAACTTTAGCTCCCTCCAGCGGCTGATTTCTAGGCAGACAGTCCTCACTTAGCAACCCTTCATTCAGCGACCACCCGAAGTTGCAATGGTGCTGAAAAAATAACTTTGTACCAATTGAGAACCATGGGTGACCTTGGCTGCCTTCCTCAGCCACCACCATCTCCACTCCAGTCAGCACATTGAACTGCCTAACCTGTGTGTTTTCCTTCCTTCCCTCCCTCTCGGAGAAGAGAGATAGGAGGAAGGGAGTGCGGGAGAGAGTACGCTGTGTGCTCTTTTACACACTGAAAGCTGCACCAGCAGCCCCCTTGCTAAGAGCCATGGTCACACCACACAAACAGCTTTTAGTGCTGAGGTCTATTTATCTCCAATCCCTCTGTTCTTGGGAGGGGGGGGCTGGAGGGGGCCAGCGGTTTTTGCAGGCTTTAGGCTCATTTCCTTTGCCCCTGTTTTCTTTCAAACCACCCTGGACGAAGCGCTTTCAGTTTCCCCCAAAACCAAAACAATCCACAGCAGTGAGATCCCACCAAGAAGGTCCACCTCTGTATGTGGGACTCTGTCCCGTAGTCTGCACTAGAGACGACGGTCAGAGGGAGGCCCTCTTGAGGCAGGAAAGAGAGGTGGGGGGGGAGGCACAACTGTCCGGAACGGGACGATTGGCCCCAGCTGCCTCCCCCCCCCCGGGCCCCTGCCCCAGCTGACCCCTCCTTCCCAGCCGCCTCATGTGGCACATGTTTACTGAGGGCAGAGCCCTCCCCGTGGGCACGCGCGCCATTGCCAGCTGCTCTTCCAGGTGTTGCCAGGCGCATGCCCGCTGGACAGCTACTCTCTTCTGGTGCTCTGGCGCGTACTCGCACACTCCAGTT